TTATATGTTACTTAATTATAATATTTCCAATATCAAGTGATTATTTGGTTTCCTAACAGTAGATCTGGCCCATTTTAATTTGCATTTGTAATGACTTAAACAACACTAAACCCGCTTACACTTTGTAGCTGTTTTTGTTTTCAAATTCATTGGTAACTGGACATTTTTTCTGGAACTGGCTTTATTTCAAGCCACTTTCCCTATGGTTTATTTATCTCTCTCCCTTGAGACATCTCCTTAATGGAGATTTGAGAAGTCGATAAGAAAACTGCAGAGGCTATTGAATTTAACAATCAGTCACCTGATGGGGCTTGATCACTATGACCTTCTCATTCCAATATTCCTCTCTCAAAAGGAGCCAGTCTCTGATCTTATATTCTCTCTAGGGACACAGGAATTTATCTGACTCACTTTTTCTCATCTACACTGTATTGCTCTGATTTAAGTTCAATATTGTGTAAAACGATTTACCTTCAGAAATACTAACCTGTTCAACTAGTTGTCCTTTACTTACTAAATAAATCAGATGGCTTTGAATCCTCTGGTCTTGATATTGCCATGTTCTGTTACTTTACTTTAAAAATTACATATTGGGATATTTGAAGAATATTTGAAAATGACATTGGTGATTTCACTAGCATGTTGTCAAATGAATGGTACAATTAAACATTTATAAATAGAGTTTGGTTAGATATTAAAGAATTACATTTAATTCATCATTGACTGACTGTAACTTAATAGTTTTCAGAGGTTTTGACTCTGTAAGTTGTTAGGTATTCAACACATTTTAGTTAGAGAAATAGAGGATTTTCTTATTTTGGAAACAAAAGCTACTGAAAAATTGTTAGTAACTCCAGACGATGACATAATCAATTCTCTGAAAAATCACTCAAGAATAAATAGAGAACTTGATCTGAAAGTTTACGTAGTATTCACAGGAAAACCTGAAGAAAATATCACTTGTAAAAACAGGCCAGTAAGTTTTATTTTCAAGCCATTTATATTAGTGGAAATTTCTAAGAATGTAGTCTTTGACCTGACTTCTTTCACTTAGTATGTTTTTGAGGTTTATTCATAACGCTGCATATATCAGTAATTAATTCATTTTTATTATTGAATAGATTATATGAGTAAACATTTTCTTTATCTATTCACTAGTTGATTGACCATGGATTATTTCCTGTTTTTAGCTATAAATAATGCTGCTATGAATATTCATGTACAAGTGACTGAATATGATTGTATATAATTTTGGGTTAGATATCTAAGAGTAGAAAATTTGGGTCATTTCATAGTATGTACAACTTTTTAAGGAACTGCCAAACTCTATTCTAAAGCAGATGTACCACTTTACACTCCCATCATCAACATATGAACATCTGAGTTTACCTACATCTTTCCCAGAATGATATATTGTCAGTCTTTTTTATTATAGACCTAGTAACTGATGTTGAACATCTTTTCTTATAATAAGCACAGATCACACACCTTATAAGGACCTGTATACATCTTATTTGGCTAAATGTCAATTATCATTTTATAATTTTTAATGGACGGTAGAGAGTTCTTAACATACATTAAAGAAAAGTCCTTTTTTGGATGTATGATTGGCAAATATTTTCTCTCAGTGTATTTCTTTTTAACTTTTTTAAGGTGCATTTTGAGGAGCATTTAAAATTTTTTGATATGTCTAACATTACTTTTTTAATATACTGTATTCTTGCTGTCCTAAGAAATCTTTGCTTCACTCAGGCACAAATATTTTCTCCTAAAAGTGTTACAATTTTATCTCTCAAATTACTATAATAAATTTGTGAGCATAGAGTTGTTCATAGTATTTCTTATTGTTATCTCTGAATGTTTGTGAGATCATTGCTTAACTCTCTTTTTGTTCACATGCTTTGTGATAAAGAATATGATGTAATTCTTACCCTTGTTCCTCCTAGGTAAGGTCTCTTTTTTTAAACTGAATTCTTCTGAGATTTTCTCTTTATCTTTGTTTTCTACAGTTTGAATAGATACGCCAAATTACAGATTTTGGGGGGCAGTTATTCTGCTTAATGTTTGCTACAGCTCTAATCTCATTTTGAGATTAGAATTTTTTGTCTTTTCTTGCTTTTTCTCTTGGTTAGCCTGGCTCAGATTTTTTTTTTTAAATGTTACTGTTCTTATGAAAAGAACTAGCTTTGTACTTCATTGATTTCCTGTTTTCAATTTCATTTATTTCTGCTCTAAACTTCATTATTTCTTTTATTGGCTTGCTTTAGGCTTATACTGCCCTTCTTTCTTGCTAACATGGAAGCTTAGATAGTTGATTTCAGATGTCTTTTTATTTTAAATACATGCATTCAGTGGTATAAAGTTCCCTCTAAGCACTGCCTTCACTGCATACCAAAATTTTTGATAAACTGTATTTTCCTTTTCTTCGAAATATTTCTTAAATTCTTTCGAGATTTCTTCTTTGACCCTAGCGTTATTTGGAAGCATGCCTTTCACTTTCTAAACATTTGGGGATTTTCTGTTATTGAAAATAATATTCTGTAATTGAATTCTATTTTATGTTCTATTCCATTGCAGTCTGAGAAAACAATTTATATAATTTCTATTTATTAAAAATTTTAGATGTATTTTATTGGCCCAGAATGTGATCTATCTCAGTGAATGTTTCATGTGGGCTTGAGAAGAATGCTTGTTCTAGTGTTGTGGGATGAAATAGTCTATAAATATCAATTAGAATTGTTCCCTCAATGATTTATATCTGATTGATCTATAAATTGTTGAAAAATGGGTATTGAAGTCTCTAACTATAGTAGGATATTTATTTCTCCATGTAGTTCCATCATTGTTTGTCTCACACACTTTTATGCTCTACTTTTAGGTGCACACACATTGTAATTTGTTATGTCTTCCAGGAGAATTGATTCCTTTATCATTATGCAGTGCTACACTTAATCCTAGATGATTTTCCTTGTTCTGAAGTCTGCTTTCTCTGAAATTAATATAGCCACTCAGGCTTTCTTTTCATTAGGATTAGCATATTAGCATCTTACATCTTTCTTCATCTATTTACTGTGTTTTTATATTTAAAGAGGGTTTTTTTTAGAAAGCATATAGTTGGGGCTTTTTAAAAATAATTTTTATACAATTTTAAAAGGTTACTTTCCATTTACAGTTACCACAAAGTATTGGCTCTATTCCCCGTGCTATACAATACATCCTTGAACCTAGCTTACTCCCAACAGGTGTACCTTCCACTCTAACAGTTTCTGCCTTTTACTTGTTATATTTACACCATTTACATTTAAAGTGATTATTATTATAGTTGAACAAATATTTACCATATTTGTAAGTGTTTTCTATTTGTTATACTTGTCCTTTGTTTTTCTGTTTTTTATTCTTCCCCATTTTTCATGATTCTGGGGGTTTTAAATGAACATTTCGTATTAGTCAATGTTCTCTAGTTCATTACCACTCATATATATGTTCACTTTCAAATAACAGTATACAACTTCAGTGGCAGGGTGAGTACTTTTCAAAAAAGAATTTCTAATTCCTTCCTCCTTCCCACTATAACACTGTTGTCATTCAATTCACTTTTCTGCATGTTATAAACACTCAAACATTGTTAGTATTATTATTTTAGACAGATAGTTATCTATTAGATCAGTTAAGAAGGAGAAAAATAAAATATTTTTTTTGCCTTCATCTCTGACAGTCTTTCTTCATGTAGATTTAAGTTTTTTTATTTATTCAGTGTTCACTCACTCTGAAAAATTTTTAGCATTTCTTGCAAGCCAGAGCTATGGACAACAATCTTCCTAGGTTTTGTTTGCCTTAGAATATTTTTATTTCTCCTTCATTCCTCAAGTATAATTTCACTGGGTAGTAATTTTAGGTTAGTATGTGCCTTTTTTTTTTCTTTCAACACTTTCCATACATTGCTTAACTCTCTTTTTGTTCGCATGTTTTGTGATAAAGAATATGATGTAACTTACCCTTGTTCCTCCAAGGTAAGGTCTCTTTTTTTAATCTGAATTCTTCTGAGATTTTCTCTTTATCTTTGTTTTCTACAGTTTGAATACATATACCAAATTACAGATTTTGGGGGGCAGTTATCCTGCTTTATGTTTGCTACAGCTCTAGGAGTTAAGAGACTTCAGTTTTCTGTAGTGTTCCTGCCCTCTCTTCTGCTGTTGTCTTTGGCTTTTCCGAAGAATTCCTTTTTAAACAGTGTTCGTGTTTTATACATCTTTCAGTTGTATTTCTCTATTTAATACACTCAAGCCCTGAAGAAATGGATAGAGTGTGTGGGAGGGAAATTTTTCTGTAATCTTATGATTATTTCTGTCTTCTGGAGGACATGTGTCACTGGGATGTGACATTCACAAGTATCCTTTAGACCTTTTTTCCTCCCATTACATAAGATAGGAAGGCTTTGTGTGTGTGTGGCGGGTGGTGGCTGGAGTTACATAATTGCTCTTTCTCTGATAAAAGTCTCTAGTAACATGACTTCCCTTGGAGTTTTGGACTTTGTAGAGAAAGCTCTGAGAATATTTTGCTTATTTTCCTCTTCTGTTGCCCAGAATGTGAGGGCATTTTAATTCACTCTTCAATAAGAGAAATTGGTAGGCTTGTTCAGCTATTTTCTTGAGATGATGGAATGACAATTTCCAAGTATTATGCATACTGGAGCCAGAACTGGAAATCCTGCAATCATGTCTTAATACTGAGAAAGAATTTTACAAATCATAAAGACAAAAGCTGTAATGTGATAAAAGAAAGGATAAAAACCACATGATCATCTCAATAGATGCAGAAAAAGTATTTGATAAAATTCAACACCCATTTATGATAAAACTCTTACCAAAGTGGGTATAGAGGGAACATATCTCAACATAATAAAAAGTTATTTATTACAAACCTACAGCCAGCATAACACTCAATAGTGAAAAACTGAAAGCCTTCCCACTAAAATCTGGAAGAAGGCAAGGATGCCCACTCACAGCAATTCTATTCAACATAGTCTTGAAGTCCTAGCCACAGCAATCAGGCAACAAAAACAAATAAAAGGGATCCAAATTGGAAGACAAGAGGTAAAGTTGTCACTATATACAGATGATGTGACACTATATATAGAAAACCCTAAAAGCTCCACACACCAAAAAAAAAAAAAACTACTAGCGCTGATAAAAGAATTCAGCAAGGTAGCAGGATACAAGATTAACATACAGAAATCAGTTGCATTTCTTTACACTAACAATGAGTTAGCAGGAAAAGAAAGTAAAGAAACAATCCGTTTTAAAATCACATTCAAAACAATAAAGTACTTAGGAATAAATCTGACCAAGGAGGTGAAAGACTTTTACATGTATAACTACAAAACATTGATTAAGGAAATTAAAGATGACTTAAAGAAATGGAGAGATATCCCATGCTCTTAGATTGAAAGAATCAATATTCTTAAAATGGTCATACTGCCCAAGGCAATCTACAGATTTAATGCAATCCCTATCAAATTACCCAGGGCATTTTTCACAGAACTAGAACAAAGAATCTTAAAATTTATATGGAATCACAAAAGATCCAGAATTGCCAAAGCAATATTGAAGAATGAATGAAGAACAATGGAGAAAAGACAGTCTCTTCTGCAAGTGGTGTTGGGAAAAGTGGACAGCAGCATGTAAATCAATGCATTTAGAACACTCCCTCACTCCATACACAAGAATAAACTCAAAATGGCTTAAAGATTTAAATATAAGACAAGACACAATAAATCTCCTAGAAGAAAACATAGGCCAAATAATCTCTGATATAAATCTTAGCAATGTTCTCCTAGGGTAGTCTACCCAGGCAATAAAAATAAAAGCAAAACTAAACAAATAGGACCTAATTAAACTAAGTAAGTTTTGCACAGCAAAGGAAACCATAAGCAAAACAAAATGACAACCTACAGAATGGGAGAAAATATTTGCAAATGATGTGGCCAACAAAGACCTAATTTCCAGAATATATAAACAGCTCACAGAACTTAATAACATAAAAACAAAAAACCCAATCCAAATATGGGCAGAAGACCTAAACAAGCAATTTTCCAATGAAGACATACAAATGGCCAATAGGCACATGAAAAAATGCTCAATATCACTAATTATCAGAGAAATGAAAATCAAAGCTACAGTGAGGTATCACCTCACACACCTCACATGGCCATCATTAAAAAGTCCATGAATGATAAATGCTTTAGAGGGTGTAGAGAAAGGGAACCCTCCTACACTGCTGGTAGGAATGTAGTTTGGTGCAGCCATTATGGAAAACAGTATGGTGGTTCCTCTAAAAACTAAAAACAGACTGACCATATGACCCAGCAATCCCACTTCTGGGTATATACCCAGAGGGAACTCTAATTCAAAAAGATACATGCACACCAATATTCATAGCAGCACTATATACAATAGCCAAGATATGGAAGCAAACTAAATGTCCATTGAGAGATGACTGGATGAAGAAGTTGTGGTATATTTATACAATGGAATACTATTCGGCCATAAAAAATAAAATAATGCCATTTATAGCAACATGGATGGACCTAGAGATAGTCATTCTAAGTGACATAAGCCAGAAGGAGAAAGAAAAATACCATATGATACCACTCATAAATGGCATCTAAAAATAAAAAAGAAAGAAAAAAAGGACACTATGAACTCATCTACAGAACAGAAACAGATTCACAGACATAGTAAACAATCTTATGGTTACCAAGGAAAGGGAGTGGGAAGAGATAAATTTGGGCAATTGAGATTTGCAGATGTTAGCCACTATATATAAAAATAGATTTGAAAAAAAGTTTCTGCTGTGTAGAACAGGGAACTGTGTTCAATATCTTGTAATAACTTTAAATGAAAAAGAATATGAAAATGAACATATGTATGTATATACATGATTGGGACATTATGCTGTACATCAGAAATTTATATTACTTCAATAAAAAAAGACAAAAGCTATAATTTTTTCTGGGTAGCACATATCTAACAGACACTAGAAATGGATTAGAAATTATCTTTATCAAGCAACATTTATTAATTCATAAATTATTTGGCTATAGTTGGTTTCTCTACATTAATTACTTATTCATTTTTGTCTGCACTTTCCCCACAGTTTTCAGCATGAATATGGATTATCTTGTCAAATAATTCAAATGAGGAAAAGCACTGTAAAAGGCAGTTTTATAAAGAATAATTTCAGGTATGTAAGGTAGATAATTGCTTAGGAGCCATAGAGGTTTGCTTTTTCCATATAAATGATGCTATTACTTTATTTGTTAATTAATTGTAGTGCTTTTGAAATAAGGTTGATTTTCCAAGCATCAGAACTAATATTCCTGAGTATATTCAGAATACACTGGCATGGTTTTCCAGCAGCAATCTACTGCTGAAAGGTATGTGTAGTTCTCTTCTGTCTTTATTCAACTTGAAATCTCTGGGATGCCTCCAAGGGGGTTACTGCCACGCTAAAGTACTACGCATTGGTTTTCTGCTAAATTTAATGAGTCATTTGAGTTAATTCCTTGAAATGGGTGTTTTCTGCAGTTTTTAATCTGGTGTCTAAAGTGGTCAAGTCAAGAATAAAGTTAATGGGCAGTGTAAAAGTGGGGACCTGATATGAATTAAAGAATGATATAAGATAGTAATAAGATTTTTTTTATCAAGGTTAAAGTGATCTCTTTATTAGTGAAAGGCATAACTTATTAGTCAGTACAATTCCACTTACGATTATTAGCTTTTAAAATTAATACTTCACATCTTAATAAATACATCAAGCACAATATATGCATACTCAAGGGCTCTAAATGTTATCATTCTTGAAAACCAACCTTTTAAATAATTTTCTCTTCAAAATCTATTATTCCCTATGGATTCTGCTTTGATAACTTGCATAGTATTCTATTACTTCCATACCATTGTCAATATATAGGACCCAGACTAGGGCCTCTGAGAGCTGGAAAGTAACCTGTAATTTTAATGAGTGCATTTCCTATAAAAATAAATATTTTGGCTCATATTAATTCTAACATTTAACAAATATTTTAGCAGGTTTCCTTTTTTTGTTGTAAAATATTAAATTGATTTGGTTAATTATTAGATTGTTCATGTTTATAGAATATAGAGAACTATAAATTAATGACTGACAGTTTGACTTTCCTGCGAAATTATTTCTTTAACCTATATTTTTAAAAATCTTATAGGTTGACTGTCTCATATGTATTGGCTTTAAGTTTTCTGTTTGACCCATTTTCCCCGGCATTAATGCTATTATTTCTCAAAAATGATGTTATTATTCTAAATGATATTATCACGTCAAACATGAGATAGTATTTTATAGGGGTGGGAACTCACATAATGAACAGTATATAAATGACTAAATCTTCAATTTTTGGTTTCAAAAAATACAAATATGCATAATCTAAAACAGAAGAAGTAAATCAAGTCAACACAATCTATCACTTACTACAGTTCCAGCTATCACTGTATGAAGAAAGAGAAATTACATAATGAAATGCATTCAGTACGTGATCTCTATTCCTGACCATTTGAAACACACTCTTTGAATATTAATTCTATTATTTCTAAATTGATGATGATGATGACGTTAGAATGTTTTAGGATTCATATTCAATTAAGGATATAAAATGCCCTTATAAATATTAATGCCAACCTAAAACTAATATTTTTGCTGATGGTATTTTTTTCTATTAACTATCAACAGCTTGAATTCAGATAACTGAAAAACATATTGACAGTGTTATTAATAACATCTGGTAAATCTCTAATTTTTTATTTTCCACATATCTTAAAGTATTACACATATGCTATCTTATCTGTCTGTATCTTTTTATCAATAATATGAAATAATTTAAAAAGCTAAGTGGGGACTTTTCTTTAAATTTGTGAGATTAAGAAAATGTGTTACTAAGTTTTTCTACTAAATAACCAGAAAAGGAAACTTCATGTGCCCATAATATATTATTATAAACACTAGAGATCAAATAATGAATAAGGTCAGCTCCTTGCCTCCATTCTCACCTACTGATAGTCATGGACAGAACTGAAAGGGAGTTCTGTTACAGGTGCCACACTAGAGATTTTTGACTAGCTCATTATTCACACAGATTACCTCATTCCAAGGAGAATCCTATATGCCTTCTTCTCATGAAATTTCTGGATTAAAAACTGATATTAACAATCAGCTTCTTTTCATTCTATCTTTATACCTATCTACCTATCATCTGTTTTTAAATATTTGTACATTCCTCTTGTAACAATTATGTACTGATTTGAGGTATGCGCTCTACAAAATACAAGTAGTAAATTGGAATTGACTATGATATCAAAGAGGTTACAGTCTTGGTTGAGAGATAAAAATGTGTAAGTAATTAAGGAATCCACTAAAACAAAGGAGTTTATTTCCAAAGTTTGTAAACATCATCTAATCTGACATAAAAATAAATGAAAAGAAGTTAATACGAAGCCCTAGAGATTGGAGAACATACTTTGAGTAGTACAATAAAAGGTGGCTTTGAAACACTGAGATTTAGAGAGACACGTACTTTACTTTAATACAGATTTTGAATTTTCAGTCATTATTTGTTCATTGTATAGAAATATTTAGTGTTCCTTAACCACATCTGTGTGAAAAAGCTACTTCTCTTGCGTGTCTCTCCTTTACTCTCCACATTACTACGACACTCACAACAATTCTGACACCAGATATGTGAGAGTTTTCTCACACCAACAATTATCTGTGACATCTGCTGAGTGCCTGTAATTTAACTCAATTCTGATACTATCTACGTGGACATAATATCAGATCCTACAGGTTAAGGGTGCAGTCCTACGAGACTGGCACCCATTTCAGATGCCAACCACAGTAGGTCCTCAAATTACTACTTCTGTCCAATTTGGCTACTAACCTGAGGTTCCCATGATTTTCTCCCCATTGGATTTGATTCTTTGCTAGAACAGGTCACAGAATTCAGATAAATATTTATGTTTACCAGTTTACTTTATAACAATGTATATGATAAAAGATGCAGATAAACTGCCAGATGAAGAGATACACAGAGGGAAACTTAAGAGGGTACTGAGTACAGGA